CCATGCCCCCCCTCCCCGTTTCATGGCAGCTGAAGCGATAGCAAAGCAGAGGCTGACACTGAGGCTACATAGTCAGGATTTCTTTTGCATGGTCTCTCCCACCCCCCCCCCAAAAAAAAAAAAATCTGTTGCTTTCCGGACATAGTAGGATTACAACTCCTGGAATTACGAAAGTGATATTGATTATGCAGAAATGATTAAATACCATTTAAAATTTAAAAGGCCAATAAAAGTATCTTGCTAAATTGGTAAAAGAAATACCATGCATCCTTTTTGGGGAGTGGGTAATTATCCTGCAACCAGCCATGCTGCAAAACACAGCCTAGAGATAATAAATTTCAAATAATGTGAGGAAATGATCCAAATGATGCACTGTGCTCGAGGGAGGGCAGGAAGGCTTGAGAAGTGAGAAACTACTAGTGTAAATAATGCAAATATAAAGAATTGTATAGGCAGGGCGAGATCTCCCCAACTCAGAAAGTCTGTCAGTGGCTCTGCTGTGGTTTCTGCATCAACTAATATTGTTCCTGTTTAGCAACTGCTGCTATTTGCCTTTGCAATGTTCAATGAGATTGGCTGCTTTGGTCATTCAGCACCAGTAGTCTGATATTAATCTACTGCCTTTCTTCCTTCTAGGTGGTTTTGAAAGGTGATGCCAGAAAGCTAAACTTACATGGGGTGAGTAAACCCACCGATGAGTCAAGAGTTGATATTTCAGCAAAAAGGAAAGCAAGACATCCTTTCATGTATTATTGTTTGAACACGTATAGGTGTGGTTATGCAAACATATATCTGCAGGAGAGAGCTTTGTTGTGGGTTAGCCTGGGATTCTGTCCTGGCCGTACAATATTTTTATAAATGTGATTAGGAGAGAGAAGGGATGTTTAGAAAATCTGCAGATAACCCAAAGTTAGGGATAATCGTTAACATCTCATAAAACAGGTTCTAAACGATTTTAATAAAGTTTAATTTTGAGTCCTTTCCAGCAAAATTTAGTTCAATGATGAGAAATGTATGATGCCACGCTCAAATAGGAAAAAATGAGATGTGTAGGTACAAAACCGATGGTACTGGCTCAACACAACTGCATTTATAGCTGTTTGCAATATGCAGTGTGATATTGCTAGCACACATTTCCAGGTTATTTGGGGGGGGGGGGAAGAATGCACAGTAGCAAACAATGGGTTCACTTAATGATCATGGAATTCATGCTTACAATTGCCCCCATTCGCTTAACAAATACCGCAAAAAATATAATAAAATGGTAGTAACATTTTACTACTGTTATGATTTACAACCATAATGTGCAGATTCCATTAGGTCAAATCTTGAGGACTATCTGTGCAATGAAATCCATGTATGCAGGACTTTCCTGACTGTTAAGCACCATCTGGAGTCATGGGTATTCCATCACTCTGAATTTGAAACAATAGGGACAGACATTTGTTGGGGATAGTCTGAAAATTCATGATCTGGACAGAGAATTGGACTAGAAGACCTTCAAAACCGCTTCCAAAGGTACGATTCTATCATTCCATTTAGTGATCAGCTAACAAAACAAAATCCACAGCAGAAAACAAAAGAAGAAGAAACCCAATATGACAACATAGTTGAGTGGAGAATTGTATATATTGTATTTTTTGCACTATAAGATGCTCCAGACTAAAGACGTACCTAGCTTCCCAGCAATTTGTCTCCTTGCAGCAAAACAGCAAATAGCCAGGTCAACTTCAACACAGCCTGATTTAGCACAAGCAGCTGATTGGCAGTTGGATTGGCCTCCCAGAATACTGCCAATCAGNTTGTCCAAATCTTTTTGTATTTGTTGTAATAATTTATTATAATTGTCCTCTTTTATTGAGGAACATTTCACCATTAACCAAATTCCCAAATATTTCACTTTCTTGGTCGCCTGAATCCCCAATTTTTCCTCCAATTCCTCATTTTGCCTGTTGTAAGATTTTTAGTATTTTAGTCTTTTCTTTATTTATCTTAAGCCATGCTATTTTACCAAATTCCTCTATTTCCTGTAATAATGAGGGACTAAATCAAAAGCTGGGGAACCCTAGCAGCAGAGGTGTGTCCTCACAGCTCTGACAGACTCAGTCCAATCAGCTAAGCTGATGAGGTCAACCCATTCCTGGATGCCATTTCCACCGCAATGGAGAACGTTGACTTGGGTTTATATATATCATAAGAAGTCACTCTTTCTTTTAATCATGACTTACTAAGCAGAGGCTCTTCATAGTCTCAGGCAAAAAGCTCTTTTGCTTGCTAATCTACTTGATTCTAAATGTCAGGGTCAGAATTGAATCTGGATATTTTTGCATGCAAAGGGATTGCCCATGGAAATGTATGATCCTTTGGCATTCAAATCACATGCCGGAGGAGCCAGTACATGAAATCAGCCCTGTTCATTCAAGATAACCAACTGTGCTGTTCTTGATTTTGTCCATCTTCTCTGTTGTCTTTGATTGAAGCCTCCATTATGAAAAATGTAAAAATTGGTGGGTAGAAGGATAGAATATTAGAAAAAATGCCCATTGTTATGTCAGTTATGCTAATTGATTAGATAGAGAATAAACGTATCTCAGTTCTGCAAGGTTCCTCATTTTAATGTTCCTGAAGCAAATACAAAGTAGAAAAATCCGAACGTAATTTGGAGCTTTTGTTATCGTAAACCAAGTCTGGTTCATAAGTTTTCCAGCTTCTGATACATGCTGGCAAGCCATTTCTGGATAAACAAAAATGCTGCTTCTCTTTAGTTTGCTCAAACCAAACTGTTATTCATCAACACACACCCCTCCACAATAGATATCAACAATACAGTGGCTGAAAACTGGGTAGAAATCTTAAACCAACAGTTCAAATAGTTGCTAAATGACTAACTGTAACTTGAGGTCTACCTGTACTGTAACTGATTATTAGCTGGGAATACTACTCCTGAAAAATTACTTTCTTTTCTTTGCTCTCTGATTTAACTGGGCCAGCCTAAGGGGTAAGCAACTTTGCTATCCATATGGTTTGTTTTTTTACTCCCATCAGGCCTCAAGGGACTGTAGGAAATGTGGTTCAAATTATCTGCGCACACATGCATTCTTTTTCTCCTTCCAAACTTAAAAATTCCAAAATATTTTCATCATTTCTCGAATGAATGGTGACTTCATCATGATCCTGCAGTTGAGCATTTAAATCTTTCCAAAAATATAATTGTGACCCAATCCTGAGAATAATAGCCAGCTATTATTTCAGAGGACTGGTGCTTGTTCAAAAACCTAGCAGGAAACTATAGGAAGTTGGGGGAGGGAGGGTCTCATTCAGAAGGCTGGAATAGATCTGTTGTCTCTATGGAAGATGTCCTGGCTCTTTATCTATTTATGGAAAGCTTATTTTTAAACCTTTGCAGTCATTTGCAGCCAGAATGTCTAGAAAGAGCCTAGTGAATGACACAGAACTGCTGTCATCCAGCTCATTCTGGAGCTTTGGGACCACAGAACATTAAATGGAAAGATACAGGAAATATGTGGTCAGGTTTGCCTTTTTCCAGTTAATCAATATTAGCTTGGGGTGTGAGTGTTAAGGTCAAACTTCAACTGTCCTAGTTTTGAAGTGTGAACACTGACTTGTCAGGTTAATAAATCATGACCAACGTTTTCTCAACAATATTTACTGCAAGCTTTTCAAATGTTGTGTTGCTCTGTCAGGGGCTTAGTGGTCTTCAGCCTTGCTTTGGTAACTCAGCTCATATCTTAAGACTTGAAAGTGGGTCAACAGGCATTTTATACTAAAAAGGAAGTGGAGGCAACTTTTCCCTCAGAACACCTTCCAGGTGGAAGCTATTGCAAGTACAGATTATCATTTATATATGCAGAAGGTTCCCAGATTCAGTCACTGGCAGCTGCACTTCAATATCTCAAAGAGCAGGTGATGAAAACAAAAATAGACCATCTTGCTCAAGATGGACTGATTTCCTGGTCTGGTGTAAGGGAGCTTTATATCTTTGTAATACAGCAGGATACATCTGTGCAGGCAATGGATCAGCCAATGCACATTTATCCTCATTTCCCTAAGCTCTGAATGCCAAACAGAACCACAATGCTCAAACAAGAGCAGGGAGGGAAGGAGATGTTATCCAGCACTCAATGATGAAGAGAACCAAGAGGAAGACTCTACTTTGTTAGCTATGATGTCATCAAGATCTGCTGGAACAAATACAGTTGTACTTGCCACATCCTGTGCTTCTGTCTCAAAGGATTGAAATTCCCTGCATGAAAAACACACCAGGAGACAGGGAAAGTGCCATTTCTGGAGCCAAGGATGGCAACTCCCTCCTATCTCAACAGTTGTTTTGTGTTTAATAGATTAACAGAGTTGGAAGGGATTTATAGGTCATCTAATCGCAATAGCAATAGCAGTTAGACTTATATACCGCTTCATAGGGCTTTCAGCCCTCTCTAAGTGGTTTATAGAGTCAGCATGTTACCCCCACAGTCTGGGTCCTCATTTTACCCACTTCAGAAGGATGGAAGGCTGAGTCAACCCTGAGCCGGTGAGATTTGAACCGCCAAACTGCAGCTAACAGTCAGCTGAAGTGGCTGCAGTACTGCACTCTNGGATGTTTGCTGTTTGCTGCAAGGAGGCAAATTGCTGGGAGGCAGAAGCCAAAGGATGTGGGCTGGCAGGTGTGCAGGGCTTCGACAACATTCACTCTGTAAGACGCACAGACATTTCCATCTACTTTTTTGGGGAGGAAGTGCATCTTATAGACCGAAAGATAACGGTAGTTGAGTGCAGAATTGACAAAAGGTCACACCTTGCTTAAAAAATGAGAAAGCTCAGGGTCAGGCAGATTGTACACAGGGAATATGTGTTATTTCTTTACGAGATATCTCTGAGTCTGTTGCAAGAAACAGGTTATCTGAACAGCCTGTTTAATCCGGTTATCGAATTAACCTATTTTCCAGCTTTTCCCAATACATTCTAATGGAATACACCGAGTTGCAAAAATCATAATCAAGGTTAACACTAATCAGGCTTAAATGTTGTACAAAGAGAGCTACTCCTCCTTCACCTGAAAAGCCGTAAAGGATTCTGAACTCTGGAATTCTATGCCTTATAGTCTTTCCAAACAAAATTTATCTTCTGATGACCCTTAAAAGTAGCATAATTTAAGAGAGAGGTTAGAGATTCATTTTATTACCACTATTGTTGAAATCAGAAATCTTCGACAATCTACTGCAAATTACTTTAGATTTGTATGCCTTAATCTACCTTTGAGATGGTAAATGGTAAGGAAAATCTTTTCTAGAAACTTTCGAGAACTGTTGTCTACTGGAATCCACTAGCATTCTCCAACTGATCCATGTTGGAACTGCCATGTCCAGAATACACAACCAACACAACCAAGCTAGTTGGAAGTTCTAGACATGCAGAACTCATAAATCTAGAAAACATTAAACTGGGGAAGGCTGGATTAGATAATGCTGATAGACCCAAAATCAAATATGAACAATTCCCTAGAACTATTTGAGCAATAACAGATGTTCTCTCAGATCTATACAACCCCACATTCTCAGAAGGTTTTATAGGCTGCAAAGATATTTTTGGGGTTGTGGAAGACATCTTTGTAGACCGATGTTATTGAACAAGCCCAGATACGTACTGATCTGTCTTGATATCCAAGGAACCTTGAACCTTGAGCTAAGTAATTTTGCATCCAATAAATCATGATTAGAAGCAAATGACTGGGCAGAACCTAGCCTCTTGAATGCTCCCAATTCTAAGCTTTTCCTTCTGTTTCCCACCAAAAGTATTGATCTGCCCCCCAAAAATCAGCCATAGTTTGTTGTGGAACCCACAACAGGTAAACATGCATAATTCCTGCTCTGAGGGGTCTTCAGTGTTTTCTGAGCTTGGTGGTTTTCTTGCAGACATTTTATTACCCAAACTAAGTAACATCATCAGTGCTAGTCTAGATTATGAGTTTGGGTAATGAAACATCTGCAAGGTCAGAGAGTACCAAGGAGCCCTCCCCTTTTAACCCTGAGCTACAGATATTCTCCTTTGTTGATTCCTGCTTTGTGATGTTTGTCCATTCTCTCCTCCTCCTTCTTTCTCCGCAGCAGACTTGTGCCGTCTGCCTGGAAGACTTTAAAGTGAAAGATGAACTGGGAGTGTTGCCATGCCAACATGCCTTCCATAGAAAGTGAGTAGATGCGAAGGACAGCCCCAAAAAGCTGCCTTGTGCCTCTCGTCTTGGCAAGCAGCCACAATATTTATTCAGCATCCAGCAGGCCCGTGGTGGGGAAGAGGAGGTGGGCGCCCAGGATAATCAAAGAGGGAGGCTGTGCTGTGTTTTGAGATATTTGAGCCAAGGGACAGCAAATGGGGAAGGAGATTAAGCACAGACCTGAATTAAATGGATAAAAACCTATCAGAGCTAATTCATCACACTCGGGAATTGTGCCAGGATGCTGTAGCCAAGAGCCCGAAGCAAACAACGAAGCCAAGAACATCTAGGCCTAAGCTTATTTTGTCTTGAGAGTTCACTTGAATTGGAGGGGAGGCGTTTCGACTCGGCTCCAAAGTGGGAAGGATGGATGAGTTGGATCAGGGAAGAAGAAAAATGGTTCTTCTAAGGCAGGGGGAGGGGAACATTAATTTTCCCAAGGAGTCAAAATGAGAAACTGGGACTGTTATGGAGTGCCAATCAATAGGGCTGTGAAGCTGCATAGGCATTCATGCACACACATACATAAATGTTTTAAAAAGTAGCCGTAGCCTTCAAAATAAAAGCAACCCACACAGGCCAGGGACAGTCGGGGAGCCAGCTATGGCCCAGGGGCCATAAAATGCCCAGATCTGTTTTAAGGGAATGCAAATCTAGTGAAGGATACACATCTTGGCATCTTCTGTTTCAGGACAGGTCCGGTTTTACAGATATCCGGCAGATCTGATTTAGAAGCAATATTTTTAGAGTGAAATGTCTATGGAGATTATCAGTCATCCGGGTCATGGTTGTCCCAAAGGTGTTTTTTTTTAAAGGCAATTGGACTTTGTTTTTCCTTTAAGATGTTGTGCTTTTCATCCAAGAAGCTTCTTCGGTTCTGACTGAATGGTGGAGAATGGAAGAATTTACATCCCTTACAGTCATCACTTGAAGGTTTATCTATGTCCTTAGGGTCACAGATTTAGGGTGAAATAATCCTGTTGTTTTTTTTCCTTTGGTGTCCCATTTCTTTTCCATAACGTAACTCACTCAGACAGAGTTGTTAAGACGTTTCCCATTTAGCACATACCAGGCTCAAATATGCTTAGCTTTAATTACTGGAAAGATCAAATGTTCTTCCTGACATCCATGCTACTGACAACAGCAGCTGGGGAAGGGGCTTTTCAGTTCATACCTCATCTGAAACCAGCATGGACGGTTGTTGCTTTCAGCTTACCTGGTTTCACACGAAAGTCCAGATAGGGAAGATTTAACCGGAGCATGTCCACGCATTATAATAAATCTTGTTCCTGTATCTCTTGTTAAAAGGAACAGAAAGTTAGGTAATTGCTGGGCTAAAAGCTGGTTGAGAATGAGTGACAAATTCATTTTAGGGGTTTGCCTGCCTACCTGCCTGCCTTCCTTCTTATAACCAAGCCTGGACACCTCCCAATCAAAAATAAAAACACCATAAAAACCGTAACAAAACCATAAAATTAACCACATTAAAAGCAATGAAAATCTGATAGCAAGCCATATCATCTCTTATCCCAGCCCTTGGAGGGTGCGGAGAGAGAGCCAAGTCTTCAAAGCTTTATTTATCTTGCCCACTTTCCCACCTTAAATCCTTATTCCTTTCTCATAGGCAGTCCCAAAGAATGTGCAGTGGAATTTTGTCCCAAGGATGTAACAGAGTTGTCACTGGAATTCCAGCCTCTGCTGCACTGGGAAAATCTAAGAGTTAAATAATAGCAGTTTTCCTGAACAATTTTTTTTTCTGACTATAGCCAAACTGGGCCTACTTTATCAGAAATTTTCTATGTTCCAACTGGGAAACCTTAGTTATGTGCAGTTGCCCAAGGCGGAACCACTAGCACTGTGGTTTGAAGCATGTTTCATCAAAATTAAATAAAATCTGATGACTAGTTTTTTTATTGGTCCTGCTAGGCTGAAAGATCTTTAAGTAGGTTTCCTTTTTGGACTGAAAACCCTGTCCCTAATTCAACAGTTCATGTGCAAAGGTGACTGTTTCAGTTATCTGTCTGACCAATTTTTGCTTAAGGCTTCTCAGCCCTTTGAAGTATGCCACATCAGAGAAAGACCACAAGTAGTACTAAAACTCTATTTTATTGTTAGGTGTCATAATCAAATCTTTTTTCCAAGAATTTAATTTTTTACAAATATATCAAATCAATGTCTGAGTAGTGTGGTACCTGGGTATCATACATTCTAATACAAGTAAAACTGATAAAGTTAATCATAATTATTACTTTCAATCAACTTATGTTTATCTAATAATAATAATACACCTTTATATTAGGTTGCAATCTATCACTGTTCAATTATTCCATGTTTTCTCTTGTTACTTTTATTTTATTATATACACTAATAAAGGTAAAGGTTCCCCTCGCACATATGTGCTAGTTGTTCCCAACTCTAGGGGACGGTGCTCATCTCCATTTCAAAGCCGAAGAGCCAGCGCTGTCCAAAGATGTCTCCATGGTCATGTGGCCAGCATGACTAAATGCCAAAGGCGCACAGAACGCTGTTACCGTCCCACCAAAGGTGGCTCCTATTTTTCTACTTGCATTTTTACGTGCTTTTGAACTGCTAGGTTGGCAGAAGCTGAGACAAGTAACGGGAGCTCACTCTGTTATTCGGTGATAGGGATTCGAACCATCGAACTGCCGACCTTTCGGTCTTAGCCACTGAGCCACCGCGTCCTATTTTATACACTAATATTCACCCTTATTTCTATCACTTATTATAGATTTAGTCCTGTCACCCTTAATTAAGAGGCTTTTTCTTTCTATCCTAATTTCTTATCATGTCACCCAGGGATGGGTTCCGGCAGACACTACTGCAGATTTGCTTGTGCGCTTCGCGTGCGCACTTGATGCGCACTGTGTGTGCATGCACAGTGCAATTAAAATAGTTCTGCGCATGCACAGAACTGAAAACCAAGATGGTGGTGCTGACTGGGGAACCAGTTTGGGGGAGTGGCAGGCCGGGTCACTGCCAGTTTCAGCGATCCAGGCCGCCAAACCACAACCAGTTTGGCCAAACCGGTCCCAACTGGTAGGAACCCATCACTGATGTTACCCACCTAGAAAAAGAAAAGAGAGAGAGAAAAGGAAAAACAAATCAGAACAACAAAAAGGAGAAATCTATCCATTGTCTCTTGCCTGCTTCAGTATTTCAACTGCTATGCTTTAAAGGAAAGAGAGAGAAAAGGGAAAGCAAATCAGAACAACAAAGAATTATCTATCCATCATCTCTTGTCCCCACTTCACTACTTTAATTGCTATGCTTTTTTTTAACTTGCCTCCCAAATTCCTGTCAGATTTTTTTTTTTTTTTTGCTATTTTGTAAGTATTTCTGCCACCTCTACCCTCTTCCACTGTCTAGTTTCCAAATTTTCTCTCCAGCTCCCTGTCTCCCTTTCAAACATATCTTCCAACTCTCTTAATACATTTTCCCCCTGGTTTAATTCATCAATCACTATTATTTCCATTGTTGTCTCCTTTTTGTCTTCTTCCTTCCTTTCTTCTTCTGACTCCTCCCTTTCTTGGGCATCTTGGTCTTCACTCATCATCCCTCGTACGGTATTTTCCATTCTCTGTCTCTTTCAAATTTTATTTTTCTCTCCCACATCCCTCACTTCCAGTCTGGTGGTTTCTCAGAACGACATGCTTTTACAGAGCAATAGTTCTAAATTGTTCCTTGGGGTAAAATTTTAAAAAAAAGTCATCTCTCCCAGATTCAGTCACTATTAACCTGCTTTGCTCTAGCACCAGTCTTAGATGGTCATCGGTGGTCCCAGCCTTGTGGCAGCCAACTTTAGCCGCCTCTTCTTGCCACCCGTGAGAGAAAGTGAACCCCAGGATTCCAGGAGAGCTGCTACTCTCCTGGATCTCACAGGGTGCCCCTCTTTGCTCCAACACCCCTCCAGGGTGGCTATGGCCCCTCATGGAAGCCACAAGCAGGAAGAATTCAGCACAGAAGATGGAGCCCTGTTCTCCTGTGTCTGAAAAGTGCCACGACATCAACCAGAAGCCAATCAAATCTTGAAGTCTGACAATTTCCTTTTGCCTTTTTTGCATTAAAAAGAATCAAGATGGGGGTATCTTGAATTTATTTCTCATCCACTCTTCTTTCCCAGGACCAAATTTACTCAATTGTTATTGCATTCTATCTTCAAAGTTAGCTTTATATTTCTCAGGAGGGTTGCAATATGTGATTCCCTGCGCTGATGATGTTACCTGTTTGGCAGGAATGGGTTCCGGCAGGCAGTACTGCCAGTTTGCTTGTGTGCATGCCGCACATACGATGCACGTTGCGTGCGCATGTGCAGTGCAATAAAATTGTTCTGCGCTGAAGCAAAAAACAAGAGAACCGGAAAACTGGCTCAGGGGCATGGCAGGCCTGGGTCACTGTCAGTTCCAACCAGCCAAACCGGTCCAAATCGATAGGAACCCACCACTGCTGGTTGGTAATGAAATGTCTGCAAGAAAATAATTGAGCTCAGTGAGCACCAAGGACCATCCCTCCCCATAATCTCTTAATGTACATAATATAGCTAAGTAAATCTTTACCTTCTAGAAATCATCTGATCAAATTAATAAGCTTTTTACATTTCGCTGGCTGCACAGATTTTCTTTGCTAAAAAAGCAAATATTGAATTGATGCTCATCTCAAAGTAAATATGCTTTGAGATGTTCAGAGCATTTGAATACATTTTTCTGGGATTGCGATATAAGGAAGAGAGAACAAATTGGTAACATTAGATTCTGTGTACAGCCATTTACTGATGCTGGGTAAATCTAATCTAACCTGTAAATTGGCTTCCAAAACTTGAAGCTTAGGGAATTGTAATGCAACACACACTTGAGAGCAGGAAATTACGTAAAACTGCTGCAAATTAAGAAAGAAAGAAATACTCTATAAATACAGTGCCCTCATAATTTAGCCATTCAGCCATTCAAATAAGGTATGTTAATGTATCGCCAGGAGCAACGTATCTTTAAGATGGGAAGTGGCCCAACATCAGTTGGCCCAGGAAAGGGTAAAATTGGGAAGGGATGCTGGTCAGAAAGCAGATGCTTTAAGGTCTTCTCAGAACGTCATAATCAACCTTTTAGATCTGTATTTTCAAATTATACCTCCCCATCTCTTGACATTCCCACCCCATTTTGTACGCAGGTGCCTTGTGAAGTGGCTAGAAGTTCGATGTGTTTGTCCCATGTGCAATAAGCCTATAGGAGGGCCCTCAGAACCTCACCAAAACATTGGAATTCTCCTGGATGAACTAGTGTGACCATCTTCCTGCCCACGTTTCCCCCCACCGCCCCACCGCCCCAAAGAGCCTTTATTGACACTGATTATTGCCTTGGGATTGTGGACTTCAACACACGGTCACAGTCTGAGATTGTTTCCAAGTGGATGTTAATCTTAACCTTCTTAGAAGGCAGCGTGGACCATTCCGAGTGCCAAGATGGAAAGCAAGCTGGCCTTGTTCTCCATCTACCGTCTGGGAGCCATTTCTGGGGAAGTCTGATCAGAAGTGCATGGGAATCTCTATTTCGGATTACCAAACAACGAAGGACTTGAAACAAGGAAGTCTGAACTTTCCCAGGATGATTGGTGAACAATTGAACTCTAGCCCAGGTTTCCGCAGCTGGTTGTTGTGATGTTAACTGTGAGATCGAAGTCTTCCCTTTTTCTAGGACTTGCTGGTCAGAATCCATAAATGGCGATATAGCCTCTTCGGTTTCTAATGAGACTTTTCTTTTTATAGTAAGTCAGCTCCTGCCATTTGGCAATCTTTATTTCTGCTCCTTAGGGATCCCTTCTGCAATTTGAAAACAAGAGCTCTTGCTGACTTTGGCTAGGTCCTTCTCTGCAAAATCTACAGTGTTTACATAAGACTTAAGCAGAAAACCTCCCTGCGGACTGTAGAAGGGGCACCAGTCAGCCAACACCATTCACCCAGCACAGCTGCAAAGAGCCCACCTTCTCCAATATTGTGGAGAAAGGGAGCAACATTGTGACATTTGGCTCACCCGTATAGGTGGCAAAGTGATGAAGGTAGGAGCATGAAAACTCTTCTCTTAGCTTTCAGATGAGTGGGACTATTTTCGCAAGTGGCCTTTTAACTTTTTTTGCCTATTCTTGTGTAGAAAAATAAAAGTACTTTATCTGAAACTGGGTTTTTTTTTCTCCCTTTTGATTATGTGTTTGCATCATGAGTAATCAATTAGCAGGAAGGAGGGATGAAGGCAACATGTTACATTAAAGGGTTGCTGAAACACTGTATCATTTCCCCCCCAACACAAATGAATGCACCTACGACAGTGTTGGCAAACCTTTTCGGCACTGAGTGCCAAAATGTGAGTGCATGTGTGCATGCCGGAAACTGGAAGATCAGCCGCCCGGTGCGCATGCATATGCTTGGAGGATGATCTTCCAGTTTCTGGTGCACACGTGCGCACCAGCCAGCTGGTCTTCGCATGCACATGCACGCTAGAAACCGGAATACCAGGTGGCCGGTCACATGCACGCGCTGGAAACCGGAAGATCATCTTCCTGGCTTGCACATGGTGAAGACCAGCTGACCGACGTTTCGGAATCTGGAAGAATAATGGGTGACAGCTCGCATGCCCGGAAATGTGGCTCTGCGTGCCACTTTTGGCACACGTGCCATAGCTTCAGCTCACGGTACTAGGACTACACAAAGGTTCAGATATGATACCAAGAAGATACTCTGGAGTATACAGAGGTAAAAACATAGCTACACACACAACCTTAATATTCATCCATCCCCAGAAGTAGAAATGCAGCTGAGCTACCAAAATTGCCTACATAAAACCCTGGGAAGCTATGATACTGACTATATTTGCATAACACGGTGACAAACCAAACACATTTTAGCCTAGGATGTTTTGCAAATTCAAATAATTCAAATGATGGGGTTTCTTAGTTTAATGTCAAGTATAGAAAATTGGATTAAGAGTCTAAGGTTATGTTACTCTTGTAAAATAAACAGCTGTTTTCCCATGGTTGACTTCAACATCTGATGTCTATGTGGGCACTGGGAGTCAGGCAGCATATAAATTTAAAGAAATAAACTTTCGTTTTTCTTGTCAGCAATGCCAAAGTGATTGATTGGTCACTGCTGCTGCCTAAAAATGTTTAGAGATTTTCCATCAAAGTACCTTTTAACTTCGATGAAGGTGAGTTACATGCTAGTCAGTCATCCCCTCAGCCGATTAAAATTTGATCCATGAGAAAACAATATGAGGAATGAAGACAGGAAAAATGTTATAGGCTTGGTAACATAATTTAGAGCAAGAGGTAGGTATAGAGCAAGGTAAAGGTTCCCCTCACACATATGTGCTAATCATTCCTGACTCTAGGGGGCCGTGCTCATCTCCGTTTCAAAGCTGAGGAGTCAGCAAAGTCCGAAGATGTTTCCGTGATCATGTGGCTGGCATGACTAAATGCCGAAGGCGCATGGAATGCTATTACCTTCTCACCAAAGGTGGTTCCAATTTTTGTTCTTGCATTTTTACATGCTTTCGAACTGCTCGGTTGGCAGAAGCTGGGACAAGTAATGGGACCTCACTCCGTTACACGACACTAGGGATTCTAACTGCCGACCTTTCTGATCGACAAGCTCAGCGTCTTCGCCATTGGGCCACCATTGAGCCCTTAGAGCAAGAGTAGTTGGGCACTAAAACTTAGTGGAAATAATGATGAGAATACATCTAGTGACAGAAAGGCCAGTGATCATGCAATTTGAAAAATATCTTTTTAGAAAATAGATATAGAAGCAGATGAAGGAAAAGAAAACAACAGGGTAGCATATATTGGATTATATGCATAAGGGAGAAGGAGAATAGAAAATAAGTCACAGACCTAGATCTTCTAGCGAGCGTGCTTCATCTCAGGGGAGACAATGGCCACAATGACTTCACTCCCCAGCAACGTGAGGAGTCGCCACTACCACCATCTAAACCCTCCCGGGAGCCGAGCCATGTGGGAGCCCGGAAAGCAAAACACCTCTCCTTTCCAGCCACCACTGCCCATTGGCCTGATTCACCGTTGCAATTTCCTGAGCTGCTTGCCCTCATAAAAGTGTGGGGGCAGCGGGTTCGGCGTGCAGAGACCGAAAAAGCGATGCTTGTTTTTGGCAATTCCCTTTGCCTGGAACGGCGTTTTTCAGGCAGCTAGCCACTTTTTTGGCCTCTGCCCTAATCTGGGAGGAAAGTGTTGTCGGGCAGCAGCACTGTGATCCCCTCCCCGAATCAAAAAAGAGGGCGTACAGCCAGCACTGCCACCTGAAAATGTTTTCCTCCGCAGTTCCCTGTTGCACAACAGAGCTATGCACCCTTCTCCTCCGCAGACTCACCTCTTTCCTCCTGGGCCAGTAGCAAAAGCCAACTGCCCTCCGCCTGGGTCATCTGGAAAGGGGGCAGGCAGAGCTGCTAGCCACCTTGCCTTACACCTCCTGCCCACGCCCCCTTCACCAACAGAGTCCTGACCTCCATGCTTCCCCAGGCCACTTGCAGGTGGGGGCCAGCGGGTGGCCGGGCCTACAGTCGGACTATAGGAAGTACCCAGATTTTCACCCTATTTTGGGGGGGGGGGAAGGGTGCATGTTATACTCAAAAAAAAAAATGGTTTCTGTATTAAGATGCTGCTTTTTCTGGGTGGGTGCCCACTGTGCATTGGAAGCACCTGGTTTCTTGCTATGCAAAGCAGCAAATCCTAGAATAGTGCTCATGGTTAATTCAGACATGCATAATTATTTGCTATCATTCACAACCAATTGACCACATAAATATACTCAAGATCACAAGCAAGGACCAGAAGCCATATATCTTGAACTGCATTTTTTCTGTGTCTTGGGACAAAGGAACTGCTTTTTAACAATGCTGCATTTGTACTCAGTGTTCTGTGCAGAACAATGAACTTGACGAAAGTTATTGTCTTGTCTCCCTAAAACTTCAGATAGATTTGATCGATCGATATCGCCTGGCCAAGTATCAAGCTCTCCCATTCATAATTGTTAGAACTCTAATGCAGATAGCATGTCTTCAACACTTTTTCTCTTTAAATGATGATTTTTCCTTCATTGCCTGCCGCTTAAACCTCTGGGCCACCATACATTTTAATTGTTTTAAAGGATACAAATGAATCATATAAATATACCCAGTCATTCCCAGATTAAGCCACGTTTTCATGAGCTTGGATTTACTGGGTCCTACTGCACCCATTGTTCTCAGGAAAGCCACAGTACAACACCCAAAAAAACAACTAATTCATATGCTAAAAGAAACAATATGAAGATGAACACACCCACAAGCAGCAACAACCCACTAATTCACACACTAAAAGAAATACGAATACAAGCACGAGTACTAATGCAAGCGCTGACAACCACAACTAACTCATATGCTAAAAGGGACAATAAGAACACATCCCTACTCCACAACTACAAGCGCTCCTTAGGTTCTGATCAGATGGGTACTGTGCCCCGTCGTAACATTTGGGACGGCACATCTCACGCATGCGCATGAACACCCCACTCATCACATGAAAGAACCTGAAGGATCAAAAAAACCCGTTCAGAAACCGCGCTAGCAAAGCCATGCCGCCGGCTTTCAGGTTATGATGAGCCCGTTCTTAACCACCCTGCCCCGAATTTAGAATAGAATATTGACTTTAAAACACAAGCAGCGCCCCTCGGTTTCTGTCTCTGAGTCTTCATGTTTCTTGTTTCCCCCCCACCCCCAGAAACCAATATCGGGCGCTCTCATTACATATGCTAATATATTCGCCGGCAGCCCCGCCCCTGGATACTCTTGGCAACGGGGGTGGGGGTGGGTGGGCCTGTTTTTCAGGCAAGGGCCCAATGACTATGGAAAGTCGGAAGCGTCAAACTTTTGCAGTTCTAAAAGAGGAAACTGCAATAGGATCCGCTTCAACTGAGGAAAGCGACATAGGAAAACAGCGAGGAGGGAAAACGGCGGAGCCGCCGAGGAGGCCATATTGAAGCTTAGAGAGATAGAGACTGACTCACAGTATTAATTTCCCCTCAGATCCGAAAGCATATGTATTTCGGCCGTTATGAGCCCCCGATTCGCGCAGAATGAAAAGAAAGCGCTTCTTTCCCTATGTGTTTGTGTTGAAGGGAAACCGTTTCCAGTGGACTCAAAAGTGGGGAACTACCGCTCTTCGGAGCTTCTTGGCCGTTCACGTAATACTTTTTTCCCCCTGTTACGTAATGCTTTTTTTCTGCACTTTCCTATCTCTGAGGAAAGAAGATGACACTTCCGCTTCCGGCGGAAAGCGGAAATCCGCATGGACTTCCGTTCTCCTGCACTCGGGCTGCTTCTGCGGTTCGTTCCTTGAGTCTCGTTAAGGGTTTGGACCTATCCGGATGGCGCTGAGAACGATTCGAATTGAAACCCAGGAAACCCAAAGAAGGAATCCGGGACTTTAAAGTTTGGAGACGGCCGGGACTGCGAGGCGGGGACTCGGGAGGAGAATCAACGGGAGAGGCTGGGAGACGGCGCTGCGGGGCCGTGAGGCCTTCGCAGGCTGCTATGTCCAGAGACAAGGCCCGTCCCAGCCCTGCCGGGCAGCACCCCTCAGTGGGTCTTGCCACGGAGAACTTGGGGGACCCCGCTTCTTGCCCAGCAGAACAGCTTCTCCACCGGTTCTTGCGGCTTTTTGGAAGCGGGGCTCCCTACACAGCCAAGCTGGGGCTTGTCAGAGACCTTTCCACCCTGCTGGAGGCTGTGGACTCTCGGTGGCTGTTTGGGGCCTCTCCAGCCCTGCTTCAGGAACTGGTGGTTGCCCTGAGCCACTATGCGGCACCTCTCCAGTGGGAGCCAGAGGGAGGAAGATCCCCCAGGGAAAACCCTTCTGGTGCAGCAGGAGCTGAGCGAGCAGCGGAAGTCATCCTGGTTTTCTGCAACATCCTGGCCAAAGTAGAAGAAGCGAAAGACCTTGAGGGGTTGGACTCTGCAGTTACTGGCTCAATCCTTCGCCATGTGGTAGGACCCATCTTCATCTGCGCAGTGACCCATGGGGCAGAGAGGCCATGGACCCAGCCCAGGAGTCAGTGTGGGGCTCAGGAGCTCTTGGATGCTCTGTTGCGTGTTTTGGAGTATAAATCGATACCTGAGTTCCTCAGAGGCACGCGTGAAGGTGAACATGGCTGGTTTGTTGTGGTGATGCAGTGCCTGAAGCCAGAATTAACCAAGTGAGTGAGAGTCCAGTGTTGATCTCCAAAAACAAAGATATAGTAACCTAAAATAAAGTCTGAAATGTCCTTCAGTACAGGTAATCCTCAATTTACAACAGTTCATTTCGTGCCCACTCAAAGTTACAACAGTACTTAACAACCTTTGTATCAGCCCCACGACTGTGGCAAGAAAGATTGTTGAGGCAAAACTCACCTAACAAATGCCTCACTTAACAACAGAAATTTTGGGCTCAATTGTGGTTGCATGTCAAGGACTACCTGTAATCTTGTAATTGAACTTGACTGTGATTGAATTTATAGATCAGGACACATCATTTGTAGTTTTACTTTGAAAGAGACCATTGAGAAGCATTATGGGAATGATGATTTAGGATTAGAAATATGCCACATGGAAAAAGGAATACGGCTGTTGAATATGTCAACAGTGTTTCACAGTTTCTAAAAAGGCAAATGTAGTTGTATCAATAAATGTGGTTCTGCATCAATACAAACAAAATTCACTTTATTTTTTGCAGTGGCTAAATAATAGTGTACACTTTAAATATATTTTCAGAAAACTTCAGAGAAGCTGAAATAGGTTTAAAGAAGAGCAACAGAAAGAAATTGAGAACTCGATATTTAGGCTTGAGAAAATTCACTGACGTTGGAATGCAACTGCATTCTGAAAGCACCCAAGGGAACATCATGCAGAGGTTCAAGACATGTTCTGTCTACCATCCCTAAAAGCAAGATCCAGAATTGTAAACTTAAGTTGTAGGAAGGCAGTCTTGAATGTTAGAAAAATCTTTCAAATAATAAGAGCAATTTGACAGGTAATCCACTTACCAGGCAAAATTGTGGACCTTTTGGAGGATGCATTGAAAAAGAGATTATTTACAATAATTTGGTTACTTTCATGCCTACTGTGAATTTGAAGTCCAATGAAATGAATTTCAAAAAAGTAATTATTTTGTTCCTCTTGGCACCATTTTCACTTTCAAATGCAATGAAATCTATCTAGAAGTAGTCACAAGAGGGAGGGTTTAGTTCATTGACAAAATCAGCTTTCAAGAAAAATAAGTAGTCTCTGCCATCTCAGTATAAAAGAATCATGTACTAAGGGGTGGGTAATTTTCTTTGTCTAACCCTTATTTTCTTTCTCTGATTCAGAGAAACATGGCAGTGTAACCCAGCAACAAAGTACGTGTTTTGCTTCGTGCTCCAGGAGATTCAGAGACCTTGGCTTGGTGATCACCTGGAAAAAGTTCTGCCACCTTCACTGCTGCTGTCAGATGACTACCGAGTAGAAAATAAAATTATGGGTGTACAGTGCCTACATCATATTATTCAAAATGTGGTAAGGAGAAACTGCATGCCTACATTATTTTGTCCTTTCCCTGCAAAAACAAGCAGAGGCTATAGTCTCTAAATCCTCTTCTCTCCAGATGGATAAATAAGATGGGGAAATGGCTATTAAATCTCGACTGATTAGAGCAAATAATTATTCTATATCAGCCTGAAAAAGATACAACTAAAACATTTACATGTCTTGAAAATTGTTTTATGATATTGAAATAGTAATGAGAATAAGCAGCATTAGACAGATAGGGTTAGCATTAGGGTTAATCTTTGATTTAAATCACTTTTCAACTCAGTTTTCAACATCCCTATTTCACTAACTCAGTCTTTGTGGAAAGGAGATATTTATGGCTGCTATTTTAGATTTAAATGGGGATAAACATTTATGTATAGGCAGGAGCTAATCAGTAAACTAGAGATTGTATTTATGCAGAAAAGAGGTATATGCAATCTGATTATTTCCACATGCCTTTTCCTCCTAGGAACTGTTTAAATAAGCAAAAGGGAAAACAGTATGCAAATTCAATGTTCTACTCTAGCCATTTTGCTAAAAACTGATATGAANTATCCAAGGACCAGTGGTGGGTTTCAAAAATTTTTGGAACCTCTTCTGTAGGTATGGCCTGCTTTCCGGGTCCACTGGTGGAACCTCTTCTAACCAGTTTGATAGATTTGACGAACCGGTTCTACCGAATAGGTGCGAACTGGTAGGAACCCAGCTCTGCTATACACCAAACAGTATTACACTTAGCCTCTTTAAAGCAGCATTGTGGTGATTTAGTTTAAATAAGAGCATAAAAATACCTTAATTGATTCAGGTACATTCTCAGTATCTATATATAGATTCGAGTACATTATGAATCAGCCTTGGTACAAAGTTTGAAAGAAGATACAAACAGAGACACTTCCTTATGCTTTCTTGCTGTTATGATGAAATATTCATAATATACTCTGATAAAAGAATCACAATCGCCAGAAGTTCTGCAGAAATCAACACATTGATCAATCAATCAATCAATCAATCAATCAATCAATCAATCATCTATATATTTTATCTTTCCACAGACTAACTTGGTAGCCACACTGTTCTTATTCCATGCATTCAGTTTTTAAATTCAAAAGAATGTTCTGTTTCCCATTTTAAAAAACCCCAAAGCTCTTTATCAAAATAATAAAGATAAAAGGGAGATAAAAACGTGTTTAAAAAGAGTATATACAAAAAAGAATTAAAAGCATTCCATTAGAAAAAATATAACAAAGTGATTACAGAGGGAAATAAAAAGATGGATCTTTAAAAGATGCCCAAAAGACATCAGCATTGTCGGTCTAGTGTATCTCAGAGGACAGCTAATTCCACAAAACAAGAGAACTTTAGATGAAACTCTTCTTCGTGGCATAAACTAATATTAGGCAAATGGTATGCAAAACCAATAGGGATGTGGTAGCTCAGTGGCTAAGATGCTGAGCTTGTCAATCAGAAAGGTCAGCAGTTAGGGGGTTCGAATCCCTAGCGCCGCATAATGGAGTGAGCTCCCATTACCCAGTTTCCGCCAACCTAGCATGTAAAAATGCAACTAGAAAAATATAAACCACCTTTGGTTTTGCCTTTGGAGTTTAGTCATGCTGGCCACATGACCATGGAGATGTCTTTGGACAGCGCTGGCTCTTTGACTTTGAAGCGGAGATGAGCACCGCCCCCTAAGTAAGAGCCAAGGTGGCGCAGTGGTTAAATGCAGCACTGCAGGCTACTGCTAGATCAGCAGGTCAGCGGTTCAAATCTCACCGGCTCAGGGTTGACTCAGCCTTCCATCCTTCCGAGGTGGGTAAAATGAGGACCCAGATTGTTGGGGGCAATATGCTGACTCTCTGTAAACCGCTTAGAGAGGCCTGAAAGGCCTATGAAGCGGTATATAAGTCTACTGCTATTGCTATTGCTAAAGTCGGGAATGACTAGCACATATATGCAAGGGGAATCTTTACCTTTACCTTATGCAAAACCAGGAAGTCCTCTAAAGGGTTCTGAGCTGCTGATGTAAGTAGTGACTAAATAAGGGTTTTAAAGTATAAAGGGGGCATTATGGCTCACTGGTTAAAGAAGCTGAGCTTGTCAGTTGGAACAATAATGGAAGGGGTTGCCCGCAGGACCATTTTTTGCCCTCTGGAGGCTTCAGGGAAGCCTCCTGAAGCATCTAGAGGAAGAAAAGCGGCGCTACCGGCAACCCAGAGGTTCTGGAATAGATTTTTGGATTGCCCTTAGGGCCGTTTTTCTCCCTCCGGAAGCTTCAAGGAAGCCTCCTGAAGCCTCCAGTGGGAGAAAAACAGCCCAATGCGCAAACCGGAAGTTCATTTCCGAACTTCCGGTTTGTGTGTTGGGTTGTTTTTCTCCCTCTGGAGGCTTCAGGCAAGGCAATGAAAAACAGCTGCAGGGCGAAAAACAGCCGAAAATGAAATCAGTTGACAGGGCAATGCCCTAAGAAATGGCTCCACGTGCCACCTGTGGCACGCATGCCATAGATTTGCCATCATGGAGTTAGAGCATACAGCAGACCAACATGGGCAATCCGATCTCATTCAGAAACCTCTCTGGATCCATCATTCACAGGGAGTATATCAATCGAATGGATCCAATCTCTAGGCCAGAGATGGCCAACCTTTTCAGCACTGAGTGCCCAAACCAGAATGCGCCTGCATGCGCGCACAGCTGGAAACTCAAAAGACCAGTTGGCCAGTGCGCACACACATTCTGGTCAGCTGGTCTTCGGGTTTTCGGTATGCTCTGGCAAGCACATGCCTCCTTTCTAGTCATTTTTCATGGCGTTTTCATGCCATTTTTCATGCTGGTGATGGTGTGCATGCCCACAGAGAGGATTCTACATGCCACTTCTGGCATATATGCCATAGGTTCGCCATCATGTCTCTAGGCAATAAGATAGAAACCAAGCCCTGGTCTGACAAAGATAAAGGAATGTCTTAGGAAACACAGTAGGTGCGTATTTTCCTTGGGATTTAAAGAAAATTTACAACTATAAACTGAACATTTTTCCCCTTTTGGCCTATTGGCAGGGATTGCTTTTTCTAAGTAGATACTTTATAAATTAATAACATCCCCTGTAATCACGAAAGACGTTACTTTCTGCTTAGCTTGCACATTCTAATGGCAGGATTTTAAAGACCTGCCAGCTACAATAAAGCTGTGCTGCTTTGAATTTGAAGTTGCCTAGAAAGTGTGCAGATGTTCTTGGGCCTGAGTGTGAAAGCATTACCAAAGCCTTGTTCTTCTAACTGAATTATAGGCTTACAATACGCTGTGAAAAAAAAATATGGAAAAAGGAAAGTGGTTGCAATGAGGTATCAAAAGGATTCTTACAACTTCAAATCATCCTTGCATTAAACGTAATTGTGTTATATCCCTTTTGCTCAACGCAAAGAACCTCTTTGTGGAAAAAATACTTCATTGCTAGGTAGGCATGGGACATAATTGAAATATGCCTTTGTTTTTAAAAAGATAACCGAATGACAACATTGGAGAAATGATGCCATTCACATCTGCAGTATGGGACCCTTGATGGAAACATTGTTTGCTAATTCTTATATTTGAAGTTTGATGTGGAACGGAAACATTTTTGTCCCCCCCAAAACAAAACAGACTTCCTATTATTTCAGAGAATGTAATGTTTTGATTCGCTGCTTAGAACTTGTAGTCCTTAAATCCTTCTAGCCTCATTTTTTTTTTCCATTTTGTTCATTTGAGAAATAAAATTATAACCCCACAAGAGAGAAATTAAATAAAGACTTCCTTTCATGTTCCTAAAATGATATTCTATAAAAATTGAATTAAATGTTATGTGGGGAATTGAAGTAGGTGGAAAAACATGGTCTCTATTCCCCATTTCCTACATTTCAAAGGACTACAACAAGAATGCAGGTCCTTAATTAGGATCTGGCTTATTAATCATGTTTGTGTTTTAGGACCTTAGGAAAGTTCTCCAGAGGAACGCTGTGGCATATGTGAATCTCCATGATCCAATAAGAGGCAAAGGCATTTTATACTCCATAGCATCTCCTTCTCTTCAGCAACTAGCAACTGAAGTTACAAAGGTGAGTATCTCCTTGTACAGGACAGTTTCAAAAATAATGGACAATAATGATAAGTGATTCATACGTTAAACATTTAAACCCTGAAATGCTTATGGACAGCTATAAATTCCATAATAAAATCATTACACTATGCAGGGGTGAAATCCTCCTGGTTTGGCTGAACTGGCAGGGACGATTGGCATCAGTTCTCCGAACCAGTGACAAGAATGCTTTCCTAGTCACCCTGTTGCTGCTCAATTCTTCTGGCTGCTCAACCCACCTACCCAATCTGAACATTTCTCCCTCCGTTCACAGCACAGCTGCTACAGCCTGTCCCTTTAAGATATACCCAGGGAGGAAAGGGGCCGGGGGAACCATAAAGGGAGCAACAGTCAGTCATAGGACGCTACCACCAAGCCACAGTCATAGAACCGGTAGTAAAAAAATTGAATTTCACCACTGAGGCTATGATATTAAATAATTGGGTATCAGATCCTCAAAATAATATATCTTAGAGAAAAACAAAAAAGGAAAACTCACTTCTGAAATTAAGAACTTTAAGAAAGGAACAATAGCACTTAGTCTTAGCTCTCTCTAAGCATTTTATACAATCAGCATATTTTCCCCAACAATCTGGCTCCTCATTTTACCGACCTTGGAAGGATGCAAGGCTGAGTCAACCTTGAGCCTGGTGAGAATCGAACTGCCAAAGTGCTGGCAGTCAGCAGAAATAGTTTGCAGTTTTGCATTCTAATCATTGCACCACGGCAATTGTTTTAAACATCTCCATTTGGGGTGGGGGGATGCCTGAAGCCTAGTGCACTCTTGTAATCTAGCTACTAGCAGTATCTACAAAAACAAATAAAATAGGATGTTTATAGTGATCATTTGGAACAAACACTTGGCCATTCTCAAAAGCCATGTGATTGCATATCCTTCATGCAATCTTCATTTCTTCAATCACAACTAGTTACAACTAATGTTGTGTCTTGGCATAGAAACAACTCAGAAGTACCCCCTCCTCTGGCCTTGCTAGAGGATTCTGATTGGAACCGTGAATAAACAAAGAAAGCAGATTTAAATATTTAGGTTGTGAAGCCAAATTGGAATCCAAACATTCTGAGATCTTTGAGAGCATGTGTGAACTCTGTTCAGCCATGCTAATTATGGCCCATTTTATGGGAGGGAGATTCTGCCAAGTTATATTTCTGCCTCCGAGTGTTCTGTAAACGAAGGTGCCATTGTCAGCTTGCTGCCTTAATGAATCACCATTTATTTGGCACCTTATAATGGAAAAGTCTGTGTTGGCTGGGGAAGAAATTAAATCCTCTAAATAAGACCATTAATTCATTAGTCCCAAATTTACATTTCAGAAGCACAAAAGTTACTCTGACTGAGCCATTAATTTATATGCCAGTAGGGTTGGCTTTTGGTAAAGCAAAAACAAGAAAGAATCTTGGGGAATCTTGACGTCTTAGTAATATATTGAAAAATAAACTTTGAAACAAATATTCAAGATCCACAATTAAAAGAAAAGAAAAGTTACTTTTTCCATTCCATAAAACAAATGCTGCAGAGTTAGGCCAACTTGCTGCAGCCAATTCGCTGTGACCAATTCACCCCAGCCAACTCACCACAGGACAACTAACAAGAGTTGCACTAACATTGAAGAAATAGTGGAATAGTATCATTAAAGAAATGATGCTAAAGAAGGGACAAAGTGAAATGTGCATGGCAAAAATTAAAATATGTTTTTAAATTATTTTAAATAATTAAATTGAATTAAGTTGAATTTTCCCGTGATGAGTTGGCCACAGTGAGTTGGCTACAGTTAGTTGTCTCATTCCAGGACCATCTGATATGAGCCGAGGTGGCGCAGTGGTTAGGGTGCAGTACTGCAGGCCACTTCAGCTGACTGTTATCTGCAGTTCAGCGGTTCTAATCTCACTGGCTCNGATTATCATCTAAATCAGAATCACTATGTAATTAATTGGGTGATGATTTCAATTATTTTTGTCCTAGGCAAGAATTAAAAAGTCATAGGCAAGAATTAAAAAGTCATGTTAGTGTCACTGAAAAATGCAAGCTGTTATAAGTAGAGTCACCTTTTGCAAAATTAATGGTGCAAAGTACAGTAAATGTAAACTTTCTAAATATTTGTTTGAGCCGTGGTGGCATAGTGGTTAGAATGTAGTATTGCAGGCTAATTCAGCTCATTGCCAGGAGTTCAATCTTCCTCCTCCTTGCTGAGCCTTCCATCCTTCCGAGGTCAGTAAAATGAGGACCCAGATTGTTGGGAGCAATATGCTGACTCTGTAAACTGCTAAGAAAAAGCTGTAAAACACTATGAAGCAGTATATAAGTCTAAGTGATAAGTGCTTTTTGGTATGGCACCAAGAGTTTCAGTATTTATCTTCATGACAATCATTTTTTTTTCCTATAAAATCTTTTGACCTCAATTTGCAAAGCATGGTTGTTTTTCATCAATTCAACTGTCTCTTCATATCAATGAACCTTCCCTTATCTTTTTTAATAACAGTAATATCTGGTGTGTTGCATTTTAAGTGTTTATTAGCTTGAATTTCGAGCCATTTCCAGGCCGTTTATCGAGCTGTTTTTCGGGCCATTTTCAGGGAGTGTTTTTGCCTGAAAAGAAAGCCTAAAAAACAGCCTGAAACACAGCCCCAAAAATGGCCTGAGAAAGGCCCGAAAACAGCCCCCAAGACAGCCTATTTTTTAAACTAGAAGAGCAGCTGGTGATAGCACATATGCCCACAGAGGGGGCTCTGCATGTCACCTCTGCCACATGTGCCATAGGTTTGCCCTCATGGATATATACTATACACCAGTGGTGGGTTTCAAAAATTGTTCGAACCTACTCTGTGGGTGTTGTCTCCTTGTGGGAGTGGTTTGCCGCCCATGTGACTGGATGGGAGTGGCTTGCTGCCCATGTGACCGGATATGAAGATGCCGANTATTATTGGTAATATTTTGCTGAGAAAAAAGGACAAACTGCTTATTTGTCATTGCTTCCCTTTTAAATTCTAACAAGGCTATTTATTTTTCTTAGTCTAAGAAGGAAGAAGGGACAAAGGAAGGAAAGAATAGATTAGATTAGATTAGATTAGATTAGATTAGACTAGACTAGACTAGACTAGAATAGCATAGAATAGAATAGAATAGAATAGAATACAATAGAATACTTTATTGGCCAAGTGTGATTGGACACACAAAGAATTTGTTTTGGTGCATAAGCTCTCAGTGTACATAAAAAATAGAATACATTCATCAAGAATTATAAGATACAATACTTAGTGACAATCATAGGTTACTAATAAACCATTAAATTATACTAAGAAACAAATAAAAATATAAATTGTAAACATACAGCAGCATGGTTCTAGTCATAAGTGGGAAGAGATTGGTACTGGGAAGGAAGAGAATAATAATAGTAATACAGTGTTAGCAGATAATTTGACAGTATTGTGGGAATTAGTTGTTTAGCAGAGTGATAGCATGGGGGGGAAGGAAGGGAGGGAGGGAGGGAGGGAGGGAGGATAGAATAGAATAGAAGGATAGAAAGAAGGTTTAATTAGCATTTAAAATAAATCATTATCAGATGCTAGGAACATGAACTTTATTTTTTTTTTAGACAAAGACAAAGAGGCAGGTTATTTTCTTTATAACGCATTTCCCAATTAACCATTCCTGCATTTTTGTTGGATGTAACCGAGAAATAAAACAACTTGGGGAGGAAGGAACAATGAGAGGGATAATTGTCCCTGAGACTAAAGATGAAATGATGTTCTTGCAGAGTATCCTTTTGGCTTAATGATGTGATTATCATTATTTCTGATGTTCAGGCTATAAGTGACATTGATTAGGGAGATGAAATGGTACCAAAGTTTTACAGAAGTTCAAAAAGAGCCTTGGGAAGAATGTATTAAGGGGAGGAAAATATCTGAAATGAGCTAAAATGTGGGTGATGAATAGACCTGGAATCCTGACCTCCAGTTGGAAGAAGAAATCAGAAATGAACCAGAGGATAATTGATGTACATTGCTGCTACTTCTACCATTAGTTCAAAATTCTTATTCCAAATCCCTTTAACTATCCCTCTATAGTCAAAATATTACTAGAAACAGTAGTTTAAGTTCAAGAATCAAAGCAACCCTAGCAGATCAAGAAAATATGGATGGAGAAAAGTTGTATCCTGACTTTTTTGCTAACCAAGAATATAAGGATAAAGCATGTAATGATATAACGATAAGGGTTTTCCCTGTCCAGTCTTGTCAGTTTTAAAAATGGACAACAGTTTGTGGCCATTGTGATGAAATCACCCTGTGATTCTTGCAGGGTAAAGTAATTGAAAAAAAAACACTTCAAAATGCAACCACTATTCAGATTATTCAACTCTATTTGAAAATTTAAAGAGCTTCCATTGATGTTCAAAGTACAAATGGCTTGAAATTTAAATTTTGATTCTTATGCATAGTGTTGTATTTCTTGCAAATAAGTATTGAATTCTTATTTAGTTATGCCAGCACAAGAAATTATTCAATATTATCTTCAGTGGAATGATGCTTCGTTAGGGCTCTCCTATTGACATTTATTCATTTGTAAGTTTGTTTGTTTATTTGTTTATCTAAAATGTGTATGATGCCCAAAACCATGATAATTCTAGGAAGCTTATAAAAATGTAATAAAGTGATCATAATCATAAAAATCTCATTAAAGCAAGAGAAATTATCAGTCATTAGATCAAATGATCAAAATATTAAATGGCCTGGATAAAAGGACATATTTTGAGTCCCTCAAAGAGTTAATAAAGAGAAATTGTTTCAGTTTGATTAGTAAATATGTTTTTACAGATAAAGTGCTAATGAAAGAATTTATGCCAGAATGATACAACAATGGTAACAAATGGACAAAATCCTTGTCAGTTTTGGAAATCCAAGTGGTACCTTTGGGTAGACAACATGGTATATGGTTTCTTAACGACTTTGCAGAATGAATCCAAAATAAAATGTTTTGTTTTTCTCTTAGCAGAAAGGAAAATTGTGACTTTGAATATTCAAACTCAGCCAACGTATAAAACAATATCCAACGTTGTTGGGTATTTAAAAGGAGCTACACTTCCTGGTAGGTTTATTTATTTTATTTCTCCATGTGCTAACTTCTGCAAGTCACTTGTCATATTTCTTAACAAGATCAGAATTTCACAACTTATTCTGAACTGTGGATTGCACTTAACTTTCAAACTGTACATAACTGTTATTTGTTAGAGTTTGTTCTATATAGTTACCCAGACTGAGCACTTACACCTGTCTGAAAAATAATTATGGGAGTTGAAATCCACAGATTAAAGATACTAAGGTTGAAAAACACTAGGGTAGACAATGTACATCTTAGCACATTCCACATGGTGTACTTTGGTTTACTGTGATCTAGTTTAACACTTTCATATCTGAGTAAGACCTCTGGTAGGAGTCACATTTGCTTGAGAGACGATACCTTATACTAGATCTTTAGCAAACAGAAAGCAGGGGACTTTCTGCTTTTTAAATATAGCGAGCTATTTGAGTTACTTCCAAAAATATAGTAATTACTAAAAACCAAGCAAGACACATCTAGCCCCTTAAGTTAGTTTAGATCCATTTTAGCTGGTTGCTATAACTACTGAGTCTTATGTCTTTTCAGATAGGTTCATTGGAAGATTAATTGAATGATTCACTATACAATATTCTGCATTATAAATGTTGTTGTTAGCTTGAGATTGCATGAAAATAACATTGAGGTCTTTCAAATAAAAGTGATTCTTGAACCCAGCTGATCATTATGGCAAACAACCGCTGTGGCAAGAATGGGAAAGGTAACCAATACCATCAGTGTTTGGAAGGACTCTTGATTGTATTGATTAATTAGTAAAATCTTTTGCTTTTTGTATGTTTTTCAGATAGATATGTCATAGTTGGCAGCCACCATAGCAATTTGCCTGGCTACAGTAGTGAGCAGTGGGCTCATGGCAAAGCAGTCATGACGGCACTTATCCAAGCCTTGGCCATGAAGGTGAAGGAAGGTTGGAGGCCTGAGAGGACCATCGTTTTCTGTTCATGGGGTGGGACCATGTATGGCAAGATTGGTTCCTATGAATGGGCAGAGGTAAGAATGCTCACAGGTTCCTTTTTTCAGATGGGGGGAATCTAGAGTTGCCAATATCAAGGATAAGAATTATTGAGATATCCCTCGTCATGGTCTCCTGTTGCTAAATTTTATTCTCTGAGTATGTTCTTTTTTTCCTTCACAGAGACATTTTGTAAACATTCAGATGAGTGAAAACTAAATCTAAACTGTATCACAACTTTTTTATGTGTTCAGTGCAGGGGTGGGCTGCTGGATTCACCAAACTGGATTCTGCCCAGTTCAATGAATCCCCAAATGCCACCCCTGACTGCCATTTAGATTATCATCTAAATCAGAATCACTATGTAATTAATTGGGTGATGATTTCAATTATTTTTGTCCTAGGCAAGAATTAAAAAGTCATAGGCAAGAATTAAAAAGTCATGTTAGTGTCACTGAAAAATGCAAGCTGTTATAAGTAGAGTCACCTTTTGCAAAATTAATGGTGCAAAGTACAGTAAATGTAAACTTTCTAAATATTTGTTTGAGCCGTG